TATATCTTCAATGAGACCACATTTGTTTTCTAATTTTTTTTACGTATTAAAATTCAGACCGATTAAAATTTAATTCGAGCTAATTAAAATTTATTTATTTACATATTAAAATTCGAGTCGATTAAAAATTATATATTTTTACGTATTAAAATTTGAGCCGATTAAAATTTTATTTGATCCAATTAAATTTTAATCAACTCGCATTGAATTTTAATTGGCCCAAATTTTAATACATAAAAAATAAAAAATTTAATAAATTAAATTTTAATTAACACGAATTTTAATAAGTAAAAAATATAAATTTTAATCGACTCGAAAGTAATTTTAATCGGCGTTAACAAATCGACTCGAATTTTAATAGGCTCGATTTTTAATATGTAAAAAAAAATTTTAATTTAATCAGCTCGAATAGAATTTGAATCGGCTCAAATTTTAATATGTAGAAAAATAAATTTTAATAAACTCGAATTTTAATATGTAGAAAATAAATTTTAATAAACTCAAATTTTAATAAAATTTTATGTAAAAAAATTATTTGAGATTTATGCAGGAGTATTTTTGATATTTTAGATATTTTTTTTGTTAAAAATAGTGGTTTAATAACAGAGCGTGTTAGTAATTTTAAATATAAATTAAAATGAATGTCAGTGATGTGTTTGTGTTATTTGAATGCTAGAAGGCACATGAACACACATACATGTAGAGAGAGAGAGAGAGAGAGAGAGGGGCTCATGAGCATTCCAGAAAAGGTAAGTCTCAATCGCAATGAGACCTATCTCCTTTGATTTTCTGATCAAGGAAGGCCACGCCTGATGGAGACAACCTGTAGAAGTATTATAAATATTATTGTCGGTATTAAAATGTATATATCAAATGGTGTGACAATTTGTGATAAGTATAAGTTAGTGAGGCATATTGATCTAACCTTCCCCATTAAATGTATACGAGTCATCCAAACATTTATGTTTTAATGGAGTGCGTGAAATTACTTTTCACAACAATATTACTTATTTATATTCTTCATTGAGCAATTTGTTGAAAAAATAAATGAACGTATGAGACCTCAAACTCAACTCTTTGAAGTCTCCTTAATAATTTTCAAGCTATATTTCATGCAACATAAGATGGTTTTTTTTTTTTTTTTGGGAGAATTACACTCAGACTCCCTGAGATTTGTCACTTAATTATTTAGACTCCTGATATTTAAAATATTACACACAAACCCTTGAAGTTTGTACATGCGTAACACTTAGACTCTTACCGTCAATGTTCGTTAGTATATCCGCTAGTAAATTATATCCAAACTCCATAAAATTTGTAAGTGTGTAATACTTAGACCCATCAAATTTAAAATGTTATACTTAGACCAAAAATACATTAATTAAAGATAAAATATCAAATCTTTTAAATTTATAACCAAAATTTATGTTATATTATGACATTTATTGAAATAAAATTAAAAATAAAAATATAATTTTTTCTTAAAAAATAATAATTAGTGTACAATTATACTATCTATTGGAATTTAATTTGGTCATTTAAACGACCAAATTATGCCAATAAAAGCTATAATATATTGTGTCAATTACAATTTGACTCCTTGTTTTTTTTATTTTATTAATTATGATTTTTTAAGAAAAATTAAATTTTTAATTTTAATTTTATTTCAATAAATGATATAATATATGAATTTTGGATGTAAAAATTTATGGTTTATTATGAATGACTTAAACTCTTTGTTTAATTTTTCGTTTTTTTACAATAAATAATATAATTGTATACTAATTACGATTTTTTAAGGAAAAAAAATTGACTTTTTATTTTTGATTTTATTTCAACATATGATACAATAGAACATGAATTTGAGTTTTAAAATTTAAAATATTTAATATTCTATCTTTGATTGGAGTATTTTTTATCTAAGTATAATATTTTAAATTTAAAAGATCTAAATATTATACGCCTACTACAAACTTCATGCAGTTTATGTGTAATTTACAAACAGATATATTGACAAATATTTGATGGCAGAGGTCTAAGTGTTACACACGTACAAATTTTATGGGATCTGTGTGTAATATTTTAAATATTAGAGAGCTTGAGTGATTAAATAACAAACTTCAGAGAATCTGAGTGTAATTCTCCATTTTTTCTCAATTAGAAGGGATGCTCATTGCCTCTGCTACGCTTCTCTAGTTTCTCTCAATTCTAAATCACTCATCAAATTGGTGGGATCCACTTAAATATAAAAAATTTCACTCAAATGCATAATAGGTGAACTATCGTCGAAGAAATTTGAAAAAAGGTAATGTGGTGGTGGGCAATATCAACCCAATCATTCAACGCATGTCTTTCAAAAGCTTTGTACTCAATCTGGTGGTGCCACAGCATTGCTAAGATGGATTTTAAGTGGTCTCTCGCTCTCTCTCTCAATCTCCAAGAAACAAAAATCTTGAAATTTAATATTGCATATTTATTTCTTTACTTACTGTGAATTTTTCAAATATCCAAAGCATCTCCTTGAGTTTTTTGGCTTTTCAAAGAACTTATAACTTGACCCCAAAATTGAAAACTTGAAACCTAAAATTGTAATGTAACTTCATAAATTTTTAATTTTTTTAGGATCAATTCCATTTTGAGATCGATCTTAATTTTTTTTTCGTTGTAATTAGACTCCAAAAATTTGTATCTTATCCCACAAAAGATGTAAACTTTAATGAACCAAAGAAAGAAAATCAAGTGGTCTTAAAAAGAAACTTGTGACATTTCGCCAATTGACAATCAGGGCAAACTAAATGTCTTTTATTCTTGCCAACCGAAAGTTTATTTGCAAAAAGAACTTGATGAACTACTGGATAAGAAGCATGGCCTAGCTTGCGATGCCAATTCGAGATGGAAGTGCGTACGCCTACAAAAGCCAATGTTGGATTCTTTTGAAGTGGTGGTGAAAAACAATATAAACCATCATGTAGATGGCCTTTATGCTAGATGCTCCCCGAGTAATCCTTTATAAGAAAGAAATTGTCATGGAACTCAAAGTAAACATGATGGTCAGAAGCAAATTTATGCACAGATAAGAGATTTTTTTGAATTTCAGGAATGACAAGAACTTGGTTAAGAATAAAGGAACGTGTTGGTGTGGTGAGTTTGGAGGTACCAGAATGAGATACAATCAAACATGCCCCATTTCCTACTTGAATTTGTTCTGAGCCATTGTACTCATCATTTCAAATGTTGAGGTTGTTGAAATCAGAAGTCATGTGGTGTGTTGCTCCAGTATCGAGATGCCAATCACTTTCTACATTCTGATTATTAGTAGCTACCATTGCCTGCACATTAGTTTTCTTAAAAGGATGAAGGAAGCTAATATCGAACCTATGATAACATTTGTGGACAGTGTGTCCTGATTTTTCATATAGTTGACACCAAAGAGATGATCGGTTGGCACCATCAGTGTCCCGAGTGTTGTTTTCTGGGTAATTGTTGCGACGATAGCCACCCTGATTGTTGAATTGATTACGCCCTCGGTCTTTATAATTGTTGGAATTACCCCTGTCTTGACCACGAGAGGTATCTCCTTGTCGTGTGGCAATATTACCACTAGCACCAGCAATAGAGAGAGGCTAATTATTATGGAAAATCCGTGCTTCACTGGTTAATAAAAGAGAATAAATCTCTTTGAGAGTTACAACATCATTACGGGCAGAGATAGTGGCAACCAGTGAATCATAGTTTGCACCAAGTCCAACCAATACATACGTGATGATATCATCACTCTTCATTGCTTGGCCAGCAATAGCAAGCTCATCTATGAGCCTTTTGATGTGCATAAAATACTCAGTGGCAGAGAGATTACCCTTATGGGTTGTGGCAAGTTGAGACCGAACCTAGATAGCTTTGGCACGGGATTGAGAAGCAAAGCAAGTGAAGAGAGCAATCCAAACATCTTGTGAAGTGGTGCACTAGTAAACCTGAGCTAATACCTCATCAATGAGAGAAGCATTGATGGTGCTAAAAATGAGATTATCGTATTTCACCCACTGAGCATATGTGGGATTGGGGGAGGTTGTGTAAACTTTGGCAGTGATTTCTTTTTTGGGGTGGGGGGTGGGGGTGGGGGGAGGTTTAATGGTGCCACATCTACATAGCCGAGGACCTCTTGGCCTTGGAGATAAGGAAGCATTTGTGCCTTCCATATCGGGTAATTATTTCTGTTCAATTTGGAGACATTGATGTTAGAAGAGGGATTGAAGACTGGAAGTGTGGAGGTGATATTGTCAGAAGAGGTTAAAGAGTTAGGAGAAGACATTTTGGATGGTTGTCAAGGATAGGCTTTGATACCATGTAAAGTTACAGTAGAGTTTTGAATATGAACTCTCTATATTTTTATATATTTGAATATACACGGTATGTACAATTTATAACAACGAAAGTCTAACTATCCTACAATATCTCAGCTGATAGAGTTTGAATAAATCTACAACTCAACATTCAAAAGGATATGACAGCTAATGTTTATGAGGATCATGCTCATCCTCCTGTTATGTAGTAGACTCAGTTACACTCAAAATACCTCCCAGCCCCACTGGTCCTAGGTTACCTCTAGAGCATCCATCTGTATTAAGTTTATTCCATCCTGCAATGGGGAAAGACCAACATATCAGATTTTGGGGATTTTTTATACCAATTGGGTGAAGGTCCTTAAAGACATTCATACAATCTAAAGCAAGCAGTTAAGCTTCCCAGATTCCATGGGCCTTCATGCAAAAAAGAGAAAAAAAAACCTTGGAATATAACAAGAACAATTCTTGTTAGGCATACATCCAACCAATTGGTGTGTCCTCTCAATGCATAGCAGCTTCCTCAAGGTGTTTGGCAGCAGACTTGAAACCCCGAGGTTCTTGTAGGGCAAGTAGGACCTGAAAAAACTGAGAGGAAGGTGAGATCTCTAACGCATGATAAGCCTTAGGTTTAAATATACTAGCTTTTCCTCGAGTAAC